CAACAAGAAAAGGGACAAGAAGAGAGGGATAAAACCGAACAATGGATGTCTATTCTAATAACATTTCTCTATCTGTATAATGGGTCTGTTTTGTGTGTTGTCTTCTCAGTTCAGATGGCCCCCTGCCTGTCTTTGCCTAGGGCCCCACATTTCCTAAATCCGCCCCCGAGAACAAGTATAAAATCAGCAGTGACTGCACCATAGATCATTGTAGTGCCTCCAAACTTGTAGGCACTACAATCCTTCTCTATCAACCCAAGTTGCTTTTTATCACCTCAGCCTGCACTGCCTCTGATCAATTCTCAGCTTTTGATTTCTGCCGATCTTCCATTGAATGTATCCACATTTTTTCTGCACATTTTGCTGCATCTGCTTAGAGACACCCAGACTCTCTTCCTCCTCAATGATTTTTATAAGGGACATGATGTGGCTTTTGTTTTTTATTAAAAAAAACAACTAGAAAGCGAGACCAGTGGAATTTGAAAATGTTTCTGTTTCTGTCCACCTATAGAAGGTTTTGTTTTTCATTGCTATTCACCTCTTCATGATTTTGCAAGATAAAGATAGATGTGAAAAAAAATTGTCACAAAACATTCTCCATTTTTCCATTCTAATGTTAAACCACAGCTTTCACTCATAATTTTACAGTAAATATGTTTCCCACAGAAATGTAGGAACATCACAACTGTGAGCTCAAGCAGTTTTATCCACCGCTAAGCTTAACAGCTCCCAGCTACTCAACACTTTTAAAAAATGTAAACAGGAGTCCAGAGGAGATAGAGATGCATCCCCAGATAATAAATTCTTCAACAGACAGGCAGGTTCGTCCAAAACATTCAGATACTGTAGGGGTTGTGATTTATGGATGTAATGTGACAATTTCGGTTGCAGTGGAACAAATCAACATCATCGAAATATTGAAGACATTTCATGGGAATTTCCTAGAACGGGCCAAAGTAATTTCCTCATGACTGCTTTTTCATGCATGCTGTTTAGATAGAAAATAGCTCCCTCCCTGCAGGGGAGCTGGCTCCATCAGTTTCCACCAACTTCCCACTGCATGAATCAGCACCTGCAGGACTGAAGATGGAGCCAGGAGCTCACGCTAATGTAGATCTACGCTCTGACCTTTTCCGGCTGAAGGCCTTACTGCACATCAAGTTTTCACTCTGGTCACAGAATCGTCCATTTCCTCTCTGGGCCTCTGGTTTAATGTTGTGCAAAGTTTTTCAAAAATATTTCCACAGGTGTCAGCCACAAGGAGGTTTTTCCTTTGGTGGAAAGATGTTCAAATATTTTCCACAAAAGCTCATTTAAAGCTTTAAATAAAAGTATACGAACATGTTGGACCCAAGTGGGATTTTACATAATAAACAGTACAGAGCAACAAAAAGCCCCCTTTAATCTCGATTACTACTGCGATTCATTTAAAAACATAATATTGTCTTTAAAAGGCACTTCATCAGTACAGTAATCATATGAATAGATCACAACAACATAAGGAAAAGAAATCTCTAAATAACTCTCTCTGAAGTAGAAAACGTTCCCTTTATGTCACCCTCAACTCTCCATTACTAGTTTAAAGCACAGTGGTGGTAGCATCATGCTGTTGGGATGCTTTTCTTCAGTAGAGACAGGGAAATGGTTGGAGCAAACGGAGAACAGTACAAAAAAAAAAAAGACCTGTTAGAGGCTCCAAATGACTTGTAGGTAAGACAGAGCTTCACCTGACAGCAGATTGACTGTAAACACACCGCCAGTTCAAATAGAGAGGTTTAGATCAGCTGTTGCCTAAACCTTTACCAAAGAACCAAATCAGCAGATTTGGTTCTTTGGTAAAAGAACAGACACTAGTGCAAAACAGTATCTTCTTAGTCTATATTTTCTTTATTTTTCATTCTATAATTATTTTACATGTGTGGCCAATTCTCCATCAGTTCAGGGCTGTCAGATGAAAACACGCCACTTGTCTAAATCTTGTTTTTTACAGAAATGTTAATCAGTTAAGACTTTCCTGAATGCAAAATGAAGAATTAAAATCAAACTCTCAGTAGGGTTTGTTATTTGTGAATGATATTTTGTGGTGTTAAGATCTTAGGCATTGATACCCTATGAGTAGATAAAACATATCGTTTAACTTTTTATTATCCTTCAAAATGTAAGAATCTTAACTTGATTTGGTTCTTTATGGCTTGCCAAAATGTGTTATTTTGTGGTTTGGAGTTTTCCTTATTAGTTCTGATTGTTTGGTTTCCTACCAGGGGCTCTTGATTTTATTTTTCTTGGTGGTTTTAGTTAGTTTTCTCTTTACTTTTCTAGTCATTATTTTTATGGTTTATGGTAGTTTTTCTTAGTTTGTTCAGTCTGTTTTCCCGTTTATTCTTGTAATCATTTCTCCATCAATCAGTAATGAGATCCTTAGTACATTCTCTTCTTAAGTTTCTTTATTTACGTACCTTTTTTAACCAGGTTTCTCAGTTTTTCTGTTGGTATTGATAAATTCTTCTGCTTCGCTTTATGTTTCCTTGGCTGTTTCCCTGTCTCAGTTATTTAATTAAGTTAAAAAACCTAATTAGTAATTTATTTTGCAGGTATCGAACAATAGATGATGGCACCAAAATGCAATCGTCAAAAATTACTGCACAAAAACCAAACTGAGAAAAACATTTCAGGCTCAAAAGATGGAAGATTCTGTCTAAATCTGTATTGAGGCTTGATTTTAGATTTGATTGTTTTTGTTTTGATTTCCTTTTTTTTTTCCCTTTCCTTTAGATTTGATTGTTTTTGTTTTGATTTCCTTTTTTTTTCCCTTTCCAGTATTTTCATAGTTTTCTATTTTTTTATTTCTTGTTTCTAGTACTATGTTAATGCTAGATTGAGTGTCCTAGTTTCCTCTCTCCTCAGTCTCCCTTATGCTCACTCTCTTACTGTACATGTGCAAACAATTAGCCAATCAGCACTAGTCTATTGTTTCAGCATTCACACTGTCTTGTTGGTTCTTCTTGTTAACATCCAGTTATCTTCCCAGTTCTTACTCTCCAATTTCCTACCCTTTCTTCTCCTCTGCTTTTCCTGTGATTTTTGTAGGTTGCATT